CTTTTTGTGTCATGCCTGTGAGATGTAATAATACAAAAAAAATCTTCCTTTTCCTACAATCGTGGCCCAAAAGACAATGGGCCCAATAAAAAAAAATTTGATAGTGCGCCATTACGCAGAGGTTACATAGTTACACAGTCAGGTTGAAAAAAGACACAAGCCCATCGAGTTCATCCTATAGAGGTTGTGACATTTATCCTGCAGCACCAAGTAAACAATGAATTGCAATGCATGTTCCTGTGGAATGCGTCAGAAATGGAGAAGTCCTTATTTGGGACATCTGGAATGAATGTTGCAAGTTGCGTGCCCATTAGTGCACAGGGCAGTTATAAATAAATATATATGTGGCAGTGCGCGGCAATGCCACTGTGTAATCTTCCTTCCTGCGTCCAGATTTTGAGTGTCCAGCGCATGCTGGCACAGGTGTGCACAGCCTTTAAAGCTGTTGGGAAGGGTTCAGGGCTCCACCTGGGAGACAAGAAAACTCTTCGCAGGAGTCAGAGTGGAGTCCAGAGCAGCAGGGTGCTACAGATTGGAAAACCCAGTGTGTTAGCACAAGACTGAGGCTCTCTGGAAGAACAGACAGTGGCCTGACGCCGGAGCAAATGCAAAGCCAGGAGGCTGGAAATGCATGTGTTGCCAAGGGATGCTAAAGAACCCCTGCAAGGGTAATTGCTTTATATTTGTGAAGTTTCATTTAATAAAAGTGGGCAAGAAAGCCCTAAAATGAAGATTTCAGCGAGTGGATGCGTCCTTAATGCGCTACTGTTTGAAGCAAATTCTCACTATATATATATCTATGTATAGATAGTGCAATATAAATGGGTAAGCCGTATTAGAAGCTTTATTAGTGTACTTTATGTATAGATATATACACATGCATACATACCTATAGTATATGGTAGTTATATATGACGATGTATGACACAAAGTACTTGTAAATTGTTACTAATGCTTCTATTTATGTAATAGTTTGTAAAATGAAAGGATAATGTCAGTAATAACTGTCTGGAGTTTGAAGAACGGTCTCAGGGCCTGTTCACACGACGTCCGTTTTCTGTGCTGAGCTGATCCATGCGCTCCTGCACTAAAAATGCATCCCAATGTATCCCTGTGCGTTTTATGGGCTACAGTTCTACGGACCTGATATCATGTGAACAGGCGCTCACTGTCACGTCATGTCACCGTGTCCCACGGTTTCGTTTCTGTTTCTTTTATTCGGCACAAGACTTTAATTTCAGAGCTCAAAAGTTTCCTGCATGACGACTCAACTCGTAGACAGCTGAGGGGCCCATCTGCTGCGTCACTGCAACATAATAGATCATTTGGAGTCATTTATAAGTCCTTTTTTTGCTAATCTTCCTGTGTCAATGTCTCAGTCTGCTCCTCCAATAGGGCCCAATCTACAAGGGTTCGGGAGACAGAGACCCCATACCTCCCCTGTGAAAACAATTGCTTCAGGAACCGGATCGCTTTTGCGGCACAACATAGGATACAACATGTCCCACCACATGGATGAGGAGAAGCAGGCCAGACCGTGCGGAGTCTGCGGAGAGCCTTCAAATCGCAGATCTTTTATACACGGTTCAGGAGATTATCTGCTCTTCTCATCTGAGCAGCCACAAGGAGCAATATCCTGTGAAATTGCACTAAAAGTAAATTAGACTTAGCACTATCTTAATCCTTTTTGCTGTCGTGACGGGATCCGCTTATTGATATGAATCGAATATCTGGCCGCAATAATGCTTGATCTGTGAAAATGACATATTACCAGAGAAAAAAAAACACGCCGGGATTAACCCTTCAGTCAACACAAGTCATCCGCAGGATGCGTGTCAACGGAAAGATCTTGCGAATAAACTATCGTTTTTTTGTAACATTAAAATCTTGTCTTCATATTCCTGGAATTTGTGCGTTTTAAGAACCTTCAGTTCTATTTTCCCAGGAAATTCCAGCCGTATATCCTGTAATATTTGCGATTTTTTATTACAATGTAAGATATGGAAGACATAAATCCTAGTGAATTAGTTTGGATTTATTCGCTTCTTTTGGTCGTAAGATGCGATCTGTAAGAGACGCAGAATTTGAAGGAAGAAAGATGATTCTTCTATATTTGCCTGTAATAAACGATCTGCCGCTTTCTCCCAATGAAATGATAAATAATGTAACAAAAAAAATAAATCTTTCAGTATACTGGAATGTTCACTTACATTACTATAAATGTTACATCGTACGTTTGTATTTATCTACGCTTATCTATCTATGTTTTAGTATCACCCCCCAGAAGACTCTGCTAGAAGCTGATTTCTTTTTCGAAGCCCGTGGACGTGCGTCTAAACAAACTTCCCCCTGTGAACAAAAAAAGTGCAACCGTGAAATCACAGCACACAAAAACGTGCACAAGGGTGCAAGGTCCTTCCAAAGAAGGGACCTAATTTCCCGACCCCCCAGGGGCGCAAGGCTCCTGACAGGGGTTGAGACTGTTGGCCCACCAACCCGAAGGCCGGTGGATTCATTTCCTTCGGGGACCTGCCGGAGCGGGTCCCTCACAGTACTAGGCAAGTGGGCTCTCCCAAAGAGAGACCCACTTCCTGGGTGGGAGGAGACAGAGAACCCCATAGGAGGCACAGAATCTCCTCCCAGCGTCAGGAATAGGCCACGAAGAAACCTGCACCCGCTGCATCTGTGGGTTAAATTTGGAAAATAAAAAAGTGCCAATCGTGCATAGAGTGCTTAAATAAATCTAAAGTGCCAGCGCACCACTCTGACAGGCCTTAGGGGCCGCAGTGCAAAAATTTTGCCCCAGACTAGCCATAAGGCCTGTCTTGGAGGCGAAGTGCAGAAAATTGCAATGTGGTGTGTGACCAAGTGCTACAGTGAGTCATGTGACTTTCTGTGCACCCCTGGGACGCCACCCCCAAAGGGCACAACACCACGGGCTTCTGCCACCCCCGAACCCTCCAGCCTCGACCAAGCTTCGCATCCGTTCAGTCAGTAGGCAATAGTGCCGAGGAAACCCCCCCTGCTGCTAGGGAGTCACCTCAAGCACCTACCTTCACTCCTGAGGGTACTAAGCAACTGTCCGTCCCAAGGAGAGTCCATGCTTTTCCCCTCTAGAACTGATAAGAACAGATACTACACTTGATCTTAGCCAAAAGGCCGAGAAGCGATCTGCTAGAAGCTGATGTTATACATCGGCCGATGCTAGGCCCGTAAGACCCGGTTTATTCGTATATATGGGAAATGTAAATGCGCGTGTCTGGTACACTTTTACACTATAGTGAAAAATCTCGTATTCTGGTACCTGTATGGGGTTATTACATGTAATGATAGTGCTCAGTATATGTATTCCCTTTTTTTTATTTTACAGATCTTTACTCGTATTTTTCGCCACATTTGCAAGTAGACCAAGCTGTCCAGGAAAAGTGACATCTGGGGCAAACCATACGACACCCCAGGGCGTCAGCTTTTCTTCATTTGGCCTAAATCTTTTTTACCCAAAGAAAAAAAAAACTGTGACGGCGTGAAAAGTGTTAGCTGCGGTTGGGATTTATTTTTTTGAAGAGTAAACTATCACAGCGAATGCAAAACTGTGAGGCCTCCGGAGGTTCTTGCCATAGTGGGTAAGTATGCACAGCAGATTTGCACATTATGGCAACAAAGGCAACTCCTTTCATGGCTGGTGCCTTCATCCATACCCTCCAGCGCTGCACTGTCAGCGACCCCCTCCATGACCGGTGCTTCCATCTATATACTCCAGCACTGCACTGTCAGAGATTCCCTCCATGGCCGGTGCTTCCATCTATATACTCCAGCACTGCACTGTCAGCGACCCCCTCCATGGCCGGTGCTTCTATGTATATACTCCAGCGCTGCACTGTCAGCGACCCCCTCCATGGCCGGTGCTTCCATCTATATACTCCAGCACTGCACTGTCAGCGACCCCCTCCATGGCCGGTGCTTCTATCTATATACTCCAGCGCTGCACTGTCAGCGACCCCCTCCATGGCCGGTGCTTCCATCTATATACTCCAGCGCTGCACTGTCAGCGACCCCCTCCATGGCCGGTGCTTCTATCTATATACTCCAGCGCTGCACTGTCAGCGACCCCCTCCATGGCCGGTGCTTCCATCTATATACTCCAGCACTGCACTGCCAGCGACCCCCTCCATGACCGGTGCTTCCATCTATGTACTCCAGTGCTGAACTGTCAATGACGCCCTCCACGGCTGTTGCGTTCACCAATTCCCTCCAGCTCTGCACTCAGTCAGTGATCCCCCTTCGTGGTGCTTCCATCTATTCTGTACGGCGCTGCACTGTCCATGGCCGGTGCTTCCATCAATACTCTCTAGCACTGAACTGTCAGCGACCCCCCTCCCTGGCCGGTGCTTCCATCTGTTCCGTACAGTGCTGCACTGTCCGTGGCGGTGCTTCCATCTATACCCAGTCTTCTTCTGGGTTCTGAGTTTTTGGCCATCTTGATTGGCGGGAGCAGGATGATGTAACTCCTACCCATGCTCATAGAAGTTAGTTCCTCCTGGGTATGTACACTGAGGTGTGCATGCAAAAAAACACTAGCTACCAGACAGAAGGATTGATAACAAGAGAGTTTACTTCTGTCCTTTTTAAGACTACCCTGTCCACAGGGTGACAACACTGCTGTGCATTTCTATGACAGGGCAAACAGTGTTGTCACCCTGTTACAGGTAGTGGAAAAATAACAAATCTGCAGGCAGGGTTAACATGTAATAAAACTAAGTTATGAGGGGACTTCCGTGTTAATGTTTGTGAGGCACTACATGGCATTTGACATTTGCGTCCAGGGTTCCACTTTAATCATTTCTGTGTCTCCTCTGTTCAGTTTTTACTCAATGCTACAGGAAATGAGGAGTACCAAACGCGTCAGCTCTTGTCTGATGACTTTTCCTCCAGCAGTCATCATATGGTTCTGGTACAAATTAAACAGAAGGTATAAATACAGAACAGTATGACTAACTAACCTTTGGTGTTCCCGGAGCCATGCCGTCCTTGTGTATTGCATTCTTACTGTCAGGAAAGAAAACAGAGAGAGGAGGGTAAGAACGACAATAATTAGGGTGAACCTGCTACAAGTTTTTTTTTTTTTTTTGCAGAAATAGTTTTTATTAAAGATCTTCACAGACAATATAATGTTAAAACATACGGAAGGCAGCAAAGGGTGAACAATGTTAAAGGATACACCATGTCATTGAACCTGCTGCAAGTTAAAGGAGAACTATGGGGTCGGGGCTTTCCCCCATAGTTCTCCTTAGGGTAACGGGGGGACACAAACTAGCGTCCTCCCGTCACCCTAGGCTCAGTATATAGGGAGCTGCTGCTCGCGGTATACTAAGATGCCGCAGCTAAAGCGGATCCCGACAATTATGTCTGGATCCGCCCAGCTGCGTGACTGACAGCTGGCTCTGCCTATCTAGAGGCAGAGCCAGCTGTACCCGCCCCCTCCCCCGTCCGTTCCGCCAGTCAGCGCTGGAGGATCGGAGCGGGGAGTGGGGAATCCAGCCCCTCCCCTGTCACGGCAGAGAGACATGATCGAGAGGTGAGCGAACGCCGGTATGTGTTCGCTCACCTCCCGATCTACTGAGCCGACCTGTGACAGTCTCATTGTCACAGGTGGGCTAGAACTATGGGGTGAGTGAAAAGCACCTCCCCCCTCATAGTTCTCCTTTAATATAAATCATGTTGTAAAGCAGATTGAAAACCATTGGCTGTAGGTGTGTAAATGCGTGCTGTCATTGCTGAGTACTCAGCGGTGGCAAATCACCTTTTTGTGCAGCTGTAACTCTGCGGGGGCCATCCACATGGAGTTTAGACATATACAGTCTAATGAGAGCTCCTGACAAACAAGATGTCACCAGCACGCCACAGGATCTGTCCAACAAACATACTTTTTATTGACGCATATTGTCACAATGAAAGCGCAAGGTTTCAGCGCCACGCGGGGTCTCCATCACACTGAGCATGATGAAAGGGACCCCGCGTGGCCCCCGAAGCGTTGCGCTTTCATTGTGACAACATGCGTCAGTAAAAAAAATACATTTGTTGGAACAGATCCTGTGGTGTGCTGGTGACATCCTGTTTGTCTTCTGATCTGTGCAGCGCCATCCGTGGTCCCTCCAGCACCCACTCCTCGAGGGGCTCTCCGGTATGGAGTGTGGCAGGACATATTCTAGACAAACATCTAAGACCCCGTTCAGACCGGCGTGGTTGGGCCGCGCAGATCCGCCGACATGAACGATCCGATACATTGCTACGGGGATCGCTCATGCCACCGCGGTGCTCAGCGCGATCCGAACCGCCTCCCGCTGGAACTGCTCCCTGCGCTGATTTTGCCGCGCTGATCAGCGCGGTTTTGGGAGTTTTTGTTTTTAAAGATACTTTTTATTGAGTCTTTTTCTTTTTTCCCCGTGTCACAGACACACGTACAAAATACACCTATATCATACAGATAACACATACAACAACAAGCGGGTCAACATAACTCAAGATAAATGATGGTTTTGGGAGTTTTTTGTTTGTTTTTAAAGATACTTTTTATTGAGTCTTTTTCTTTTTTCCCCGTGTCACAGACACACGTACAAAATACACATATATCATACAGATTTCACATACAACAACGGGTCAACAAAACCCAAGATAAATTATGGTTTTGGGAGTTTTTAATGGTGTTTCAGCACCGAAAAGCCATTAAAAACTCCCAAAACCTCCCTTTTAAAAATCAGTGCGGAAACTGCGCTGATCCACAGCCGCCCTGGTGTGAATGGGCTCAGCCTCTAAGGCCTTGTTCACACCAAATGCAGAGCAGACCTAGTCAGGTTTCTGCACACGCAGTGCAGTGGGTTGTGCCGCGTTTTTGACGCGTTCCGGGACGTTTTTGGTTAAAAAAAAAAATAATTACGTTGTTTAACATGGGCTTTCAGGCACTTGCATGCGTTTTTGATGCGTTTTTGCGTTTTGATGTGTTCCAGAGCAGATAAAATAGGGCTGGAGCTCAAAATACCATAGGAATACATTGGACGCAGTTTTGATCCGGTCTGCACCTGCTCTACTCTGGATCTGCTCCGCGCTTGGTGTGAACAAGGCCTCAGAGTCCAATTGGTTCACAGCAAACACAAAACATAAATTTCGCTTAGTTCCAAATAGATATTTGTACGAATTTCGTTAAATTCGGAAATTTTGGATGCATCCGAATTTCAGAATTCTAACACATCCGAATGTGAACGACTCTGAATGCTCGTTTAACGAAAATCCCTATCCGTCCCGAATTTCGTTCAAAAATAAAATAATTCGGACATGTGACTGTTCTCTGGCCAATCGGATGTTTTTTTGGGCTGTTGGGGGGGAGTTGCATTACCGGGACGAAAACGAATTCAGACAAATCCGAATAACGAACTGAATCTAATTTCGGATCCGAAAAATGTAAGTAATAAAAATCCAAATGGATTACCAGACCCGCATTCCCTCATTGGTAGAGACGCTCTCCACAAGCTCTAATTTTTACTTATTAAATAAAAACATTTTAAAAAAAATAAAACACAAAAACATTGTTCATCCTCTCTGTATCACTGAGACTTTTAGACGCCTCTCCCTGTGTAAGACTTTTTGTTTTTCTTTTTAGTTTCTGGGCATTCCAACCGATCGGTGTTGTAATATTTCCATGCACTGCTCATACCAACTCTGTACTTCATCTGCTGTACCTGATACCCGTTGTATTGTTGTCCGATTTGTGCCCTCCCTCACGCATCTAGATTGTATACACCTATGAATTTGGGCATTGCCCTTCCTGTACTCTTGTATTGTTTTTGTCTTCGTTGCTATGATAAAAACTCAATAAATTCTTTGTTAAAAAAAAAAAAATCCAAATGGATCCGAAAGTAAACAAATGTTTTGCAGGGTTACATGTATATTGCCCAGTGATTTAACTGACCCACAGTTGTATCCGGCACCCCCATCTCAATGGAGTAAAGAGACGCTGCTGATCATAAGTCAATATGGCCGCCCCCAGAGCAAGTTATTACATTGTATCATTTATCTGGAAAGTGGAAACACTTTACTTTATGTCATTACAAAGCTGCGTCGTGTCCTAGCGCTTTTCCGCGATCCATAATGCAAATCGTATTCAAAGACCTTCTGATAAAATAATAGATAACGAGATAAAATCCAATTCATGACAATTACAGATCCAGTTACATTATCACCAGCAAAGGGAACAAAATTAAATAACGGATCGTCAGCTTTGCGTCGCCGATTTCCTATCCTCACTTTCTGCATCTGACAGTAAACGCCCCGGCTTTCCTTCTC